AATAAAGGGTCGAGGGTGGGACCAACAGGAGGTCGCTAAAGAGTAACAACAACAACTAGAGGCCGCCCCGGGAGACCGGCACAACAAATGCCCGAAGCAAGTCCCGCAGAGCGCCTTCTAGGTAGTAGAGAGGCCTCTCCACCGTTCGCCGTCCGCCCAGACACACTATCAGCCAACCGCGTTACAGGCGACAACACAACAAGGCGACTGCCTGCAACGGTTGACGCAACCCACACATTGTGCTAAGGTCGTCGACCTCTCCTCCTGTGTTGTGGGGCAAACTCCCTACACTAATGTGGGCGTTATGTTAAGTCAAAACACACGCTAACACTACATTGCAGCAAACTAAAACCAAAATTTTTTTCCTACATGTAAAACTGCATGCGCGAAACGTTTCTTCACTTAGTCAAGTGTAACACTCATAACGTAAGTAATCAGAGAAAAAGGAAAGTCATGATATCTCACGACTCTGGTTATTTCAGGACGTAATCAACGGAAAATCGGGACGGGGAACAGATTTTAAGTACTAAAAAATTAACGCCAAAGCTTCCATTTAACGACCTTATTCTTATTTACAATAACGTTTTTATGAAGTCATTTATGTCAATGGAGTGAACACTTAGGTTAATTAGGTTGGTGATCTTTCATGTCATAGGAATACCCTGAAATGAGACAGCTCCCTCGTCCTGTTGCCATTGAATGTACATCAGGATTTTTATATATATTAGCCGTCAGTCGTGAGAAAACTGTCATTGTAGTTTTTTTCCGGTCGAACATTTCTAACAGAAGCTTCCTCACCTGAGTGTAAAGACCGCGGGAGCCAGAGAGGGACAGTTCGATAGAAGAAGAGGGCGCGTCGAGGACTTGGGAAGTAGAAGGAGTAGTACCGGACGTGGAGGGTAGGAGAAAGGAGAGGAGAGTCACAGCAGGACATGCGGTAGCCCACAATAAGTCGTTCCTCGCCAAGCGGTGAGTATGTTGCAAAGAATACTTTCCGTCAGTGCTAATAGTTGGTTAGTTTACCCAGACATCAAAACACTACTCTGTAATTGTGAGGAGCAACTGTGTGTCTCTTAACCAAGTCTGACTTTGTACAATCTATAAGATGACAGGAGGATTTCAGAGAACAACAACATATCGACTGCAAACTATGTAAAAACCTCAGGAATGGCAAATATAGGTACCAAGTTACACAACTTTTCCCTGTCCGGTCCAGAACGGCGAGACGACACACAAAATTACCACGACAACGGGTCCCTTGGTGAAACATCCAGTGGCGACAGCCGACGACTTTTGGTGGGTTTGCCTTATTGGTGGAATCAAGATAAATGTTTGTGTTGTAATTATTATTCTAATCAAATCTCGAGCAATTCCTCCAAACCCATCACCAAATCAAAGACTAAGTTTTCATCCTCACTTAACAGCGACTGCGTTCAAAGCAGACAATGGTTGTTCTTTTTTCTCATCTGTAATACAATAAAAGATTATCTTATGGGGTGGAACCGGAAGCGACGTCACTCACAGGTAGCAGACTATAATCGCCTAGAGTCGGAGCTCGTGCAGCGGGCTTGAGCCGACAGTAGGTCGCAGACGAACCAAGCGATACGCGTACCACCTTAGTACCCTTTGTGGAAATTATCACATAAATAAAGAAATAACAATCAATTATTTGACCTATAGATAGTTAGAATACACAGGAAACCGACGGGTTATAAAATTTACAAAACAAAAATTATAAAAAAATAAAATACCAAAAATTAGTGTGCTGCGGAAGTTAGGTTAGTCCTAGCTCGACGGCGATGACTCTCACTTTGACTCATCAGACGAGTCGAAAACCTCGTTGCACTCCGATCACTTCATAAAGCGAGACGACGACCCTACTCACGTGCCTAAATCGTTTATACTATTAAATCATATACTTACTATTTACACAAATAACAATTAAATGACAACTTATTACAATATATTAATAATAATTATTACGTATTCACTCCGAAAATTTTTACGCTTTGTATATACCAATAACAACGATACGACAAGTTCTTAATATATATAATATTCTTGGTCTTCCACACTTTTTAGTTTCAGTAATTTTATACAAAAATTTTTATTACAAATGACAACTCCATAATAACAAATTATACACACAATTCTTACAATTCATTGTCTTCTGTGTTCCTTCCATTACTTACTGTTTGTTTTCTATTTATGGTTTGTCAGAAAATCTTTATATTGACCAATAATTAATAATAATACACCATATTAGTTTTATATATAATTTTTTACATAATTCGACATACTAAGTAAACAGTATAAAAGGTAGTATTACGTGAGTAGTAAATTTTTTTTTTAAACGCTTGTCCCCCCCAAGGGGCGGTCTCGCTATACGATATACCCCAGGAACGCCGTACCGTTTCAAACCCTTTGAGACATGATAATGGTATTTCGGTTGTTTGTAGGTAGAATGTCGGTGTATTACACACACACACACACAGCTACACACACACACACACACACACACACACCACACATACACACACACACACCACACACACACACACACAACACACACACACACACACACACACACACACACACACACACAACACACACACACACAAAACAGAGAGCACACACAGCACATCTGAGTGTCACTCGCAGGAGGTGTCTGAACAACTCCAACACGTCGACTCGGTCCGGTACCCGACCGTAAGTCCGACGAGTCGACTCGCCAGTGGCTCACCTTAAAGCGAGCGAAGTAAAAAAGCTTCTAGGAGGTTGTCCTGCTACTGTGTCGACATGTGCGACGTCCCCTTTGTGTGCTGTGTGTGTGTGTGTGGTGTTGTGTTGTTGGTGTGTGGTGTGTGTGGTGTTGTGTGGTGTTGTTGTGTTCGTGTGCTGTCGTGTGTGTGTGTTGTGTGTTGTGTGTGTGTGTGTGTGTTGTGTTGTGTGTGTGTTGTGTGCTGTGTGGGTGTGTGTGTGTGTTTGTGCATTAAAGGTCATTTCTCTATATCTGAGAGATTCTTAGAATACAAGGCAATATGTGACGTCCGGTAAAAGAAGAGGCGTGCCTGTCACAATTTTTTGTACAAGGTACTTAGCGGACATCTGTACTTTAGTGTCCCAGGACCAACTATAACTTGTGTATTTGCCGATAGTTGACGACAAGTAATATCCCAAACTCTAGACAAAACGAGAATGCAAGTGTCAACGTAGGTCACCACGAGCGAGGAGGGTCCAATGCACTAAACGAACTCGTGTCCTCAGGTGTGACACAAAGGCACACGTAAGCAGCCCTGTCGCCGTTGAGAGGTCCGCCCACCACCCAGTGTCGCGGGAGGAAATTGTCGACGGAACGTGTGGTCCACTCCTCCCCCCGCAGTGACATTTTTCTGCCCTACCGACAACGAAAAATTCACAATTGGTTAAAACGTAGCGTCAACACTAATTTGATTCTTAGTGAGTCACCTTTGCTATTACCCTACTGAACTGTAAGACGCAATAAGTTACCAACGTAATTTGAGGTCGAACGGTTACTGTGTTGTTATATATCACTTATATATAACATATGTGTAGTTTGTATAAATAAAAAGGAATTTGCTATATAAGGACGTACAACAATACTTACGAACAACAAACGTAACACCAGAAAGAGGACTTACATAACATGCAGAGACAAACAAAAAACACTAAAACCCTAGGAACTCATTTTTCCTCATCGACCCATGAGAGAGTACAAACATGACATATTAGTGGTACCTTCTAAAAGATATCAGATAGGAAAAGAAAATACTACCAGGCACTGCAGGACTACGTGAGTGGGAACACGTCGCAACCCAGGCACTCGAGAGGCTCACAGGGCCTGCGTAGACAAACCTCGACCACGGCAAACTGGGCCACGGACCGTCCGCGTGACAGGCCAGACCTCCAGCGTGCCAGCAGTGCGTCGCGACGTCTGCGGAGTGTCACGTGCTCACGGCTGTCGCCTACGTGCTGAGCTTCGCTTGCCTCGACAGCCTCTCCTCTGTCTCTGTCGTCTCCGTTACTCCCTTCGATATGTTTAGCCTAGTATATCACACATGTGTTATAATCTCGTTTCAAAGGACGAGTAAACTAACCGGACGTAAAAAACCAACACCAGCATAAACACAATTTTCTTATGACTTTACAAAACAAAAAAGAACTTCTCGTTACTTAACCTACTATAGTTGTTTTTATTATACCCCCTTTAACTATAAAATCGTTTTAGGGTACAAATCTATATTTTGCAATTTACACAACTCTCTTTTTGAACTTCAAATGGAGGTGTCGCAGCGTCAGGCCACGGCCACTGAGGCGATGTCGCTGGGAAGACAACTCCCAGTGTACGAGCCACGCGATACCTTTCGTCAATGTAAGACGCACTTTCTTTTGTTTTGAAAATCTAGACGACTATGTGTAAAATGGAATTTTGTTAATGACTTTATTTTAAGAATTTATGAAAATCTGGTCTCGGAGAATCCTCTCTACCTTCACAATTACACATAAAGACAAACTAATCCTTTGCAAAAAAAACTAACTTGAGTGAACCACGCAACAAACACCGCGCTACCGCAGAGGCATCATTGGCCCCGCGTCTACAGTGTCGCGCGGGCGGCTCGAGCACGTAACGTCGAGTCATGTGAGCGGCCAAATCCTCCCACTGTCAGCCCACTTCTCGTACAACCGCCAGCAACAACGGCGACGTTACTGTGTGACCGGTGGACGACGGGTCGTGGTACCGCCAACGGGCATCATTGGCCCCCCGTGGTGACCACCCTTCTCTCGTGCAAAAAATTTCTATGGAAGCAGACGTCGTACGAGTCTAATTACCTATTATAATACGGCGCTCCCTTCATTCATGATTGTACAAAAGTCGTTGACTGTTTGTGTGTGTGTGTGTGTGTGTGTGTGTGTGTGTGTGTGTGTGTGTGTGTGTGTGTGTGTGTGTGTGTGTGTGTGTGTGTGTGTGTGTGTGGCAGAGGAGGGTAGATGACCTGGTGATGAAGCAGAAGGAGGTGGAGGATCATTTGCAGATGGCTGAAGATGACGTAGCGCATGTCAACGATGTGCTGTCCATGCTGCACGACTCCAAAGAGGTCAGAATCATTTATTGAATTCATTAACTTAATAATCTTATTTAAGTTCAACCATTTTTAAACCAATAATTATGCAATTGTCATTATGGCATCTAATATTGTTTTACATTTGTTGCAATTAATACAACATATCGTCATTGCAAACATGTTTTTTTTTATACATTTAAAATCAGCTCTTGTTTCTGATTCATTTTGAGTCGTATTTCAGTTACCACTTTTGTCCACTAAATCTCTGCATACCATTACTTTAATAAGACATATAGTTATTGGTATTCTGGGTAATATCTTTTACAAATTGTTGGGGAAAAAAATCTATTTGTGTTTGAATTGTATTTGTATATTTGCCAAATAAGAATCTAAATGCATTGCCAACTATTTTAGTTGTTCAGTAGATCGTCTTTTAGGGGGTTACGGTTAAGTTACATCTTATTTAAAGATTAATATAATATTTGGGTTTTCACATGTTTTATTCGCTATGAAAGAAACACAAGGTTCAGTCGGAATTAATGTTTTATACAAATATTATGAAATGGTTTTACAATTAATACATATTTTCTTTGTAATTGAAAATCAGTTAACCGTCTAGTTTTCTAAGATTATTTTTGTAATATTGATTGCTGATGCCAGACGTTGAACAGCGTCTCTTATACATATCAAATGTCTCTCTCAGGAGTACGAGCGCTTGGCGGCTCAGCTGGACGGCGCGCGGACACCTCTGGCAACTAAAGTGCAGAACTTTGCTTCGGCCGAATCCAAAATTCCTCTGGTGGAAGAAGCAGAGAAACACGCGGAGCTGCTGAACACTTTAGCCATGAACCTGACCGAGTAAGACACGAGTTCACTTTTTACCTACAGCATATATGAATCAGGTCGAGGAGGCAGACAAACAAGCTGCACTGTATGGCACTGTGGTGACTGAGCTCACAAGGAAAATCCTATCAGAAGTTATTTAAAAGAAAATTAAAGATGTCGATAATCTCTTCTCTGCAGTTTGGTTGCAGAAAGCAAGAAGGGGGGATTTGTGGATGTGACACATGCCTACAACAAGATCATCAACAGCATCAAGGACGCAGAGGAGGCCGCCAAGATGGCTGAAAAGGCTGCAAACGACACTATGGAGGTACAGGACGAAAACATATGTTTCCCTCTTGTACTGTATGAGCACATTCCCCATAAAAAGAAACTGTCTCCAGCTTTTTATTTGTTGGTTTTCTGACCTTTAATATTGGTGTATTTGTGTAGAACATAAAGAACCAGGATCTCAGTCAGATCGCAGATTCTCTGAGGAACCACAGCGTGGAGCTGAAGGACGAAGTGGAGAAGCTGGGCGATGAACTCAACAACGGTAAACACACAACTTTAAAATCAAGATATTCATTATATTGATTGATTTTTAAGGAATGTCAAGAAATCACGTTAAAGTAGAGTGTTGTATTCTTCAGAGTAGTTGAATTAGTTATTTTTCTGCTGCACAGAACTGAAGCCGCAGCTGGTAGACGCTGAGAGGCGACTGAAGGAGGCCAAAACCAAACAGCTCGACGTGATGAAAGACCTGGAGCTGGTTCAGAAAAACCTCAACTTCGCCTCAAGTAAGCATTTTCAACACACTCAGACATTTTATTACAATCAGCAGAAGCGCATCTTTAAAGCATCTTCAAATAGGTGCATTCTAACTTAAATGCAACCTCAGAAAATACATGTTCAGATAGCTAGGGTGAAAATATCTATCACTCTTTTTTAAGGCATATATTCAAACTCTTCCAAGGTTGTGAAGTGATGTAATGAACATGCGGAGGCAGTGACATAAATCATCCAAGCCCAATAACTTACATAGATGTAGCTTATCCATTGTTAGCTGTTTTTACGTTGTTGTGTTGTTTTGTTTTTTCATTTCTGCGCTTCTTTCTCTGTGACGATCAGACGTGAGTCAGGAGATCAGCGAGGCGAAGCAAGCGGCTGATTTAGCGAACACCACGGCCACACAGATCAACGATGCCCTGCGTCCCATTAAAGAGAAGCTGGACCAATGGCAGCAGACGTACGGGGACGCCAACGCCACCAACGAAGACATCAACAACGCTCTGATGGAGGCCAACAAAACCGGTAGGAGCCAGGGGACATAGGAAATATAAGAAACATAGATTATTAGCATTATTAGCATTTTACTGAGTGTCCTTTACTTTATTTATTTGTATTTGAACCTTTTATGCTCTTCAATATACTCCTTGGATAACTTTTTATTTTATTTGTTTTTATTATTTTCTCCTTATAGTATCGTGAAGCACCTTGAGATGACGTTGTTTTTAAAGTGTGCTGTATAAATGAAATTTATTATTATTATTATTATTATTATTATAAATATACAATTGACATTTGAGTAACTAACAATTAGTAACAGTTTTTTGTTTTCTTCTGTTAGTGTCTGTGCTTTTTCACCATGTTTCTGCGCATATACATCTAATTCAGTGTTTCTCAAACTTTTTCCTACCAAGGACCACTTAACCAATAAAAAAACACCTAACTCCACAAATATCCAAAATCAAATCGGTTTTCTAGAACAGATTACAAATCGCCTGGAAATGGTACAAACAAGTGGCAACATGTGTGACGAAGGGGTTGCTCTGGGCTATATCATGGAAAAGTGAAACTTAAGCTCGCTCCATTGCGGAGATATTCCCGCGAGAGTGCGGAAAATGTATTTATTTATTTTAAATGTGAAATGTTATCAATACTCACGGACCACTAGGGGGCGCTCACGGACCACCAGTGGTCTGCGGACCACACTTTGAGAAGCACTGATCTAATTGAATAAGCAGTTTGAAAATGTTTTCATGGGCTCTGAGAAATGTCCATGTTAAGTTCTGACACAACTATTCAATCATAAATCTGATGAACTGATAACAAAGATATATCATTCGTTGCTTCCTCAATGAAACACATGTAACTACTGTATTGCCATATATCAAATATTCATTAACAATCAAGTAAATCCAACACAATAACAAATGTCAAGTTATGAGTCGACATAAAGTCAAACCATATGTCTCTTAATGTAACTCTTTCTCTCTTCAGTGCACACGCTGGGTGATACTATTCCTCTGCTCATGAAGAAGTTGGACAAACTGCAGAACCACTCGGCGCAGATGCCAAACATCTCGGAGAACATCAGCCGCATCCGGCAGCTCATCCAGCAGGCGCGCAACGCTGCCAGCAAGGTAACAACACAAAGACACATCTCAAATGAACGGGGAAACCCTCATACAGTATGTTTCTCACTCCTGATGAGTATTATAACCTGTGTGTGGATTGGTGAATGCTGCCTTGTGTTGTAAAGCGTAAAGTGTTAAATCAAGGCTGAAGACTTTTCTTGTTGCCGCTGCTTTTAATTGAACTATTCACATTTTACACTGCACTGTAACTTGTATTCATGTACCTGTGTTATTCATTATTTGTAATGTTTCTTATGTGTTTTATGCTCTTAATGTCTTTCATTTTTGTAAAGCACTTTGAATTGCATTGTGTGGAAAAGTGCTATATAAAGAAACTTGCCTTGCCTTCGTATGTTGAAGCAGCCAGTCATGTTTTAATGCCTCTCTCCTCTGTCCAGGTTGGCGTGCCGGTGAAGTTTAACGGGGGGGCGGGTGTTCAGGTCCGAACGCCACACAACCTGGCCGACCTCGCCGCCTACACCTCCCTGAAGTTCTACATCACTCTGCCGGAGGCGGCCCGCACCCGTCGCCAGGACAACAGCGACAAACAGTTCATCTTCTACCTCGGCAACAAGGATGTAAGCATCACCAACACGGAGCCTATATTATGTGTCGTTAAATCAAATATAATAATTCCTAGAAATCATTCAAAATGTAGTGTAGGTGCAACCTGACAAAACAAGTGCATTCAGAGAGATTGAGGTTGAAAATGTACATTCTTTTTTTCATGACAATTACCTTCATAAGGAAAGTTTGATGACTTGAAGACCCAAGTTTACTCTTCCTGCTGAAATCTTTAAACAAACAATTCAGAAAAAAATTATAATTAAGGAGCTAATTGTTTTAAATGTTGTTTTTATTCTTGTTTAATTCTGAGATAGTGATTGCTCAATAACAGTACGGCATCTTTCCAAAACATTTCCTGGTTCATTCTTTGTTTTTTCAGTGATTAGTGAGAGTTTCTAAGAGGTTTTGATGAGAGAAAATAGGATGGTTTCTGTAGTTCACTGCTTCCTGTCTGGTGTTTGTAGTCCAGTAAGGAGTTCCTGGGCATGGCGTTGGTGGGGAAGAGACTGCTCTGGTACTTCAACATTGGAGGAGAAACTGCTGAGGTGCTGATGCCTGAAGAAGTCAAATCTAATGGGGACTTCAACAGCATCGTGCTGGAGAGGTACGATACACACGCTACAGTATATTCAATATTAACATGCATATATGTGATATGATGATGTGATTCTAGATGTTCACATGATGAGATAAGGACGTTTGCTCCAGCTTAAGTATAAATGTAAAAGAAAAAATGCATTTTCATGCTTGGATATTGTAAGCAATTTGCAGTATAGTAGTATATTTCCTTCCTTTTTACTGTGTGCGCCAAGTGGAAATGTACTTTTCTACAGTTAAACCATTGTAATAAGCGTTTTTTTAACACTAGAACCGCCAACGGGTCAATTTTACCCGCAGCTGTTTTTTGATTGTATGTAACTTTTTAAAATATTCAAGTCTCCCAGTCCGCGACTTTTCCTGAAAGTGTGTTATGTAGCACCCTCTGTTGTTAAAAATGGTCAATATGAAGTCAGATTGAAAAAATCGCCAACAATTTTTCCATTTATACCTATATCCGCCAGCGTAAACATGACGTGTTGCTATAGCAACGCCTTTTGTCTACTGCGGTTCCTTATAAATAGATAGATAGATAGATAGATAGATAGATAGATAGATAGATAGATAGATAGATAGATAGGGAGAGAGAGAGAGATTTGTAACTAAACAAAACACAAGTCTAACACCAAGCGTTTAAATCAGCACTGGTAGCGATATGTTATACTTCATGCTATCTGTACAAACTATATCATTGAACAGCTGAGAGTCCACAGATTCTATTTCTTATAAGTTTCATCCCTGTGTGATCAAAACTGTTCTGTATGATAAATAAAAGAACATTGTACCTTGAAAATCTATAGCGGGTAAATTTGACCCGTTGGCGGTTTTAGGTATACAGCGACCTCTTGCGGTTCTAGTGTTGGCTCTAACTGTTATTTCAGAATCGACTACATCAAATCATGATACGTGGAGACATGCACTCGCAGAATAAACCAACCTTTGTGTGCTTCCTAATTTATATCTATTTGTTTGTGGCTGATGGCAGGGTCCTGCAGTACGGTCAGATGTCGATGTCTTCAGAAGCGGAGGGAGACCCTCTGGTCACTAAAGCCTACAAGGAGGCGAGGGGGGATCAGGGTCTGCTCAACCTCCTCACCGACAACACTGTGTTCTACGTGGGAGGGTACCCCAAATCCTTCAAGGTGCGTTCATGGGGGGGCTAGACGCTTCTGTTGTCGGGTAGTTGTGTTGTGCTTCACCGCTACTCCTCCATTGCATCATAGTCGAGGCCTATGACAGCGTCAACATTAACATAGTTTTTACTTGGTTCGTGTTTGCACTGAAAAATGTGGATGTTTTATATTTAGTTACTAAAAAAGGCCATATCAAATTCTAAATAGTATCTTTTAACACATGTGTTAATAGAGGACTTTTTGTGCCCTTATGTGGGTTATCATTAAATCTTATAATAAAACGCATACAAAAAATTCCACTAATGAGAGAAAAAAAAATATATAAATAAAGTAAAAAATACAGAAATAAAAACCCAATTCAACGATTATAAAAAACGAAATAGAATCTGGAAAATCTATCTTTTAAAAAGCACAACAATGTTCCCTTTTCATTCGAGGAAGCATTAGGATAGTGTTGATGTACATTTTAATAATATATTCAAAGTATCCAATTCTTTATTTATATTTTTTATTTTATTCTTTTTTTAGCCCCCCGCTGAGCTCGCTCTGCCGAACTTTAAAGGTTGCATCGAGCTAGATACGCTCAACGAGGAAGTGCTGAGTCTGTATAACTTTGAAAACGTCTTCAAACTCAACACCACCGATGAGAAACCCTGTGGCAGGTCAGTGTCAAGTGGTCATTTGACTTATTTAACTGAAATATTTGTTGGATGTTGGATTATTCTATTCTGTCTCAGTAACAAAAAAACGTTTGAGTTAGTAACCGCTAATCTATTTATAAGACAATGACTTCAATGTTTTCTTTCTTTTACTTCTGACTAATCTCACTCTCGTATTTCCCTCCGTGTGAATCACAATTGATTAAAATTGCTGAAAACAGGCTGAAGCCGGTGCTGACTCAGCCCTGGGTGAATGACGCGGCGTATTTCGACGGTACCGGCTATGCTGAGATCACCTTTTCTGAAGAAGCGTCTCGCATTCAGCGTTTCGACCAGGAAGTGAAGCTGATCTCACACAACGGCATTCTGCTCCTGCTGCAGAAGGAGGTAAACACTTTACTCATTCTACGGCCAATTCGACTGTTGTTAAAAGGTTGTAGTGGGCTCATTTCTAAAGTAAATGTACGCTAGCCAATAGAAGTGTGAGTAATACAGGCAAGGTAAACCGCCAAAAGAAAAATAGGGCCTCTTTAATAGATTCATAATCAAACACAATGTGTATTACAAATATTGACACACAATGCTGAGGTGCATCTCAAATCTATTTAAACATTGTGTTTTTAGCCTTAAGATAAAGTATAACACTTTGTTGTGGTATAAACAGTTGACCTGCAATCTCCCCCTAAAAATCGCATGTCCCGCCCTAAAAAGGCCTCTACTGTAAGGGTTATGCTTTCATTCAGCAAACATATGAGACATTCTTATGTATTTTGGTTTGTGCCGGGCTGTAAACTGTGTCAGCTACATAGTTTCGGGCTGTTTTGCGTGCGTGCAAAAGTTGTTGTTGTGGTGTAAACGGCAACAAATATGGATTAAACTAGGGCTGCTCAATTAATCGTATTTTAATCGTATTTTCATCGCGATTACGATTATGGCTTGCAACGATTACGAAAACAACGTAATCGAAATAAAACGATTATTTTTTTATTATTATCATTACTTTTTTTATTATTATTATTATTATTTTTGGGGTTTTTCAGTTGAATTATACTTAAAGTTCAGGGTAATCAAGTGTTAAAAACATACTGTTCACATTTTTTTTCTCCAATAAATGGATGTTTTCAAAGTCAATGAATAATCGCATTTAATAATCGCAATTACAATTATTGACCCAAATAATCGAGATTANACGTTAACTCACGATACCAAACAGATCATGCATTTTAGCCATTCCTCATTTCGCTCAATTTAACACATTCTTTGCATGGGCTGATTCCGTGAGAACAGCA